AAGCTCTTAGCCTAGGTGCAATCCTGGAGGGTTGGTTTGACTGGTCCCTATGTTCATTCATTCAAGAGATATTGTGAGCATAGATCTATGTCAGGCCAGGTGTCGGGGATGCAACACTGAACAAAAAATAGGCATGTTATCTGTCCTCATGTTGCTGATGGACCGGGGGGCCCTCCATTGGTAACATGCAGTTAGAAGCTGTGCCACTATGAAGGGTTGCCTGGGAAGCTCCGAGTAAGGGAGACAGGTTGAGTCCTTAGAGCCTAAAACATGGGCGAGTTCTTTGTCCACACTGTTCAACCGAGCTTGCCGGGGGATCTGAAGAAGTGAGACCTGGCCTTGCCCTCGCCGCCCTCCCCCACACGCCCACTCCCAGGGAAGCCCTTGTGACTTAGAGCCTGTCAGCGGCATGGTGTAATGGAGGCACATTTGTCAAAGCCCGCCTCCGCGATGATCTCCATAAAAGATGGAGATGCTGCTGTTGTGTGTGCGTGAGCACCCATGTCTCCACGGGGTAGGGCATTAAGCCCACAGCAAGATTTGTGTGCTACATCTGAGTAATGAGCCATGAAATTGACATTATAAGTTTTAATTATTATTAATGCCTTGCAGGGGTGGCTGGTGTAAATTATCCTGTAGGCATCCCAGATGTATTTCCCTTTTCCTTTTATTTCTTTTCCTTAATGTCTTGAGCCCATAGAATGGCGGCTCAGTGGCCGTGTTTGAATAGGATTTCTCCAGAGGAGAGCACACGTGGTTGAGGGGTTCTACGGAGCAGTCTGCAGGCCGAGAGGTAATGGCGGCATGGAAACCCGGTCAGTTTCTCGGGGCTGGGAGGGTCAGGCCCTGTCATGGACTAATTAGTTAATCTTACAAAGGGCTTTGAAGATGACAGGTGCCTTGGAGGTCTGAGATCCCCCATTTCAGAGCATTTCCTAACAGCGAGAACCAGTTTCCGACAGCTCTACCCCATCTCCCCACCCCCCCACCCCCAGTAAGCCACCTTTGGCATTGTCCCTGACTTTCATTACTGCCCTCAGAGCTATGTTCTGCATCTCAGTTTTGCTCCTTAAGGTGCTGATCTTGGCAGTCTAGGGTGGGAATGCTCAGGTGGGCTGGGCTCCCTCCCTCTCCCCCTTCCCTTCTCCATGGCTCTCTCTCTCCACTTATCCTGTCCTTGCCCACCCACAGGCACAGACTGGAGGATGGCTGCCTTGCCAAACCATGGCTGGGCCAGCAAGGTTGTGCTTTGTGCTCTGAGCCCAGTGATCTGACCTCAGAGCCACAGGATGGTTGGCCCCGGCCGGGCCACTGTGTTTGCAGGGCGTTCCTTTCTGGCTTCTGCTGCAGCTGCTCTTTTGCTCCTCCGGGTGCAGTGGGACCGGCATCCTTGTCCTGGATCTCTGTGAGGCATGCTGATTGACAAGGGGTGTCATGTCCAATCTGTCATTTGTGACTTTGCCCACCTCCAGCTCCACCCAGGCTCTGTCTCAGGAGTAAACTGAGCCCAGCTGAATGAACAAACATGCCCAGGACAGCTACCATGATCTGGACACTCATGTCCCAGGGCTTGGGTTGAGAGGTGCTTGTGCAGTAGGGTGTGATGGGGTACAGGCTCAGAACTTGGAGAACACAGCCTGCTGCTGCTGGGTTTGGGAGGAAATGAGATGGGCCAAGGTAGTAAGCAAGCCCCAGGGGTTCCAGAAGCACGTGCTCTCTGTGAACGAGGTGCTGCCCCCGTGGCTGGCACGGGCAGTGGGGAAGAGCGCTGGCAGCGGGAGCTGGAAGCTGGGCTGAGGCCATGTGGGGGTGTCCTGATGCCATGCTCAGGAGCTTGGTGCCCCTCCCCAAGGGTGGTCAGAAACCATGGAAAGCTCCAGAGCCCCAGCGGGTAGATCGGCTCTGTGTTGGGGCATCCAGCCTCACAGTGGGCTGACGGGGCCTGAAGGCTCACTGGTGGAAGTTTGCAGCAGTGTAGGAGGGAGAGAGGAAGGGCCTGGCCATGGGCGGTCAGAGCAGGCCTAGTATTTCTCTGAGCGCCTGCTGACCCATGGGGGCAGGAGGACTTGAGGGCGAGTGCTAAGGTGGAGGGAGAGAGTGGGCACACGGGTCACCATGGGCACGTGCTTGGCGGTGGGCGGATGTTCCCTGGCCCGGGTGAGGAATGCAGGGGTTGGTGGCTCTCAGGACAGTCATGAGACATCCAGATCAAGAGGTCTGAACAAGCGATCAGATTGAAACCAAGTCTACCGCTTGGAAGGGAAATTGGAAGCACAGATAGAGGCAGATAGAGTTGGGGCCATGGAAGGAGTTGGGCTGACCAGGCCAGGGGCCATGGTGCCCACATGGGTGGGGCCAGGCCCATTCTGGAGAGCCCTGGAAAGGCCAGGTCCCCTAAACATCAGCAGTACGTGCCTTGCAGGAACTGGGGGACACATTACTCTAGAGCACCAGCCCCGGAGCTGCCCTCCTGCTGGGAAGGGCCTCAGTTCCTTGTCACTACACCCAGGCCCTTTGCTGCATCCCGGGCAGGTAGGGGCCAGGATTGCACGAGGTGCCCAGAAGGGGTGCTGGTGAGTGGCATCTGTGTCAGCTGAGCTGGGAGAGCTGGGAGCAGGCGGGCCAGAGCGGGAATGCCAGTGACCCCGCTACTGGCTCCTTGGGGAGAAGGGGGAGGTGTGAATGTGCAAATTGTGTGCAAGGGTGCACAGAGCATAAGTGCCAATCCAGCCTTTCCCGCTCTCCTTTGTTATGAAGAGCAGCAAATCTACCAGCAACCTCAAGTGTCTGTGGGTCTCCAAACATTGCTTTTGAGCGCTGCCCGCTTGGTCTGCGGTGAAAGGAAACGGGACCTTCTGCGCGCAGAGCTGAAGCCCATTTTCGAGTTGGACAGTGAGTTCTCGCCTTACAGTCCCTCTAACGCCTCTTATCTTGATGGGTGTCTCAACTTATCCATGTGCTCAGTAGTGAAAAGACTTCCATCATGGAAGTCAGTGTTACATTTAACTTCTAAAGTTGTGATAGACTAAGTTCAAATAGAACAAGAAAGCTACGCCGTCTTTTTGTAAATTTAACCTCACAGGCTGGGGCAGGGTTTCTCAGCCTCGGCCCTATTAATGTTCTGGGTGGGGCCGTCCTTTGCTGTGGGGGCTGTCCTGTGTGTTGTGGGACGATTAGCAGCACCCCTGGCTTCTATCCTTTAGATGCCAGTGGCATCCCACCTCCCAGCTGTGACAAGCAAAAATGTCCCTGGGGGACACAACGGTCCCTGCCTGAGAACCCCTGAGCCAGGGGCTGGCTGGCCTTTGTGTGTCCTTCTTCAGGTGATTCACAGCTGACAACCCCTTCCATTCTTTTCTGATCACAGTCCTTGTGCTGCAAATCAGCCCTTTGCCTCAGCCCTCTGAAATCAGGGCCTGTTATAGGCTATTGTGCTCATGGTACAAAGCTAGCCAGGATGAGTATTATGGGAAGCAAACTGATTTTTTTTCTTCCTCATTGAGTTCTGCTACAAAAACTCCTCTGGTGTTACTACTTAATTGGTTAGTGGTAGCTGTTTGTCAATTTGCCAGCAGGTTCTCTCTTAACTGCTGTCATTTGACATTGCTGAAACAGAAATGTAGAGTGATTGAGTTGCCAACATGCTATTAAGTCCCCTACAAAGAGCTTTTCGATGTACTACTGCTGCAGGCTTCTGTGGTTCTATTGATTGATTCAAATACTAAAGAAAGCTTTGGCATAGACAGCCCTGGTAAGAAAATGCAGCTTCTGTCAAGGAAATTGTTGGGTATTGCCGCAGGGGCAGTGGTGGGTTTTCCTCTGGCAGAGATTTGGCCTCTGGCAGAGTTTCCTTGAGTATCGACCACCCATATGGAAGAGGAATAGAAACCCAAGCAGCCACTGGTCTTTATGAGACAGGTCCAGTTAAGTTGAGGAGCTGGGAAGGGGATGGTGACACCAAGTCTCGGGATGGTTCAACAGACTCCTTATTGCAGAAGAGCAGAAGATTGCCATGAACTCTGTGTTGGTTTCAGAACTAGTTGCTCACCATTTGAGACCCAAGATGGCAGATCACTTTAAGAAAGGTTGGCCAATCTTTGACAGGATGGCAAAGATGTCCCATGACATTGAGAGGATACTATTTTATCGTCTTGAAATTGTACTTCTGGACTAAACTGCTATGTGCATCAAAAAGCTATTTGTCATTGGTGTGTGTATGGGGGCGGGGGTTGTGATAGCCAGGGACCACCTGTTAGAACTCCTAGTGCATTGAGGACCCATGTCCTAGGGGTGGCCTCCACCTTCCATGGCCAGACTGTCCCTCTGGGCTGGACATCAGGAGTATATGCCCTTGGTTGTGAGGCTGTGAGTGGGAAGGTCCCATGGTACATGTGGGTCTGTCCCTTTGACCTGAGAACCCCTTTGACATGTGTCTGAGTTGCTGTGAAGGTTCGGAAATGAAGTCAGGAAAATGTTTTTGGACAATAATTGTTGGAAGTTTGGCAGCTAGAAATAACACAGAATGGAGGACAATTTAACACAGAGTAGTGGATGAAAATATCAGAGCCAATCTACCTAGGTAGGGATTCTGTTATCCTTGCGGCAGGGGGAGGTGGTGGGGGTAGGCCTTTGGCCATTTACCTTCTCTTTTTCTATGCCTCAGTTCCCTCATCTATAAAGGGCAGTAATTTAGCTTCTGTTCCAGAGTCCTTTTCAGCAGCATGAGTTGGTTCTTGTGGACAGTCCGGGACCACACTTGGCCCCCCTCTCACATGCTCTGTTTGGAGGGGCGGGGTGGCTGCCATTATGGGGACGGGTTTGTCTCAGTAGGGACATGGGCTTGAGTATCCCCATATTGGGTGTCTATTCTTTTGAAGTACTTACTACTCTGGAACATTCTGTACATGCCCTCACGGCACAGGAGCACCTCATCCCAGACCGATCTAATGGGGCAGGAGGAAGGCCATGTTGAGTAACGTGATGCTATGTTTTGCTTTCAGACTCTCTCCCAGCTTCCCTATGGGAAGGCGCTCTACAGTTACGAGGGGAAAGAACCTGGCGACCTCAAGTTCAGCAAGGGCGACATCATCATTCTGCGGCGCAGAGTGGATGAGCACTGGTACCATGGGGAGCTGCATGGGGCTCACGGCTTCCTGCCTGCCAGCTACATCCAGTGCGTCCGGCCCTTGCCGCAGACCCCGCCCCAGGGCAAAGCACTTTATGATTTCGAGATGAAGGACAGAGACCAGGACAAGGACTGTCTGACCTTTACCAAGGTAAGGGGGGCCCCTGTGAACATTGCCACCCACACCCTGTGATTCCCACTTACCTGCCCGTTGGAATCCTGGCTCCTTCCAGAGTGCCCAAGCTCCTCCCTGTTGGGCCTCAGTAAGTAGGGAGAGCCGTTTCCTACTTGCTGAGTTTTTGTTGAATGGAAGGAGATGGCACACAGCCTGACACACAGTTCCCCCAAGAGCTGCCAGCACACTCACTGGCTGACAGGTGCAGGACCCTCCGTCACCTGAGTCACCGTGTCTCTGTGGTGACTCAGGTCCAGAGGAGTGAAGTCTCTTCAGGACTGGCAGACCCTGGGAGAGGGGGCCCATCAGGGGAGGCTGCTGCAGGGACCCCTTCAGCTCACAGGGAAGTGGCGGTAGGGCCCAGAAGCCAGCATGCCTCAGCCCTGTCCTCTGCAACAGCACCAGAGGGCACAGACATGTGCGCATAGGGACAGGTCAGTCTTGCAGAGAGGGACCCAGGGGCTGACAGACTGAATAGTGTTTGGCTGCAGAACTGTCCCAGCAGAGCCCAGTGAGATGCCAAGGGGCCTAGTTTCTGGCCATCCCAGGCCTCTGTGACTGTAAAGTGCGGAGAGAGCAGAGAGGATGGCCCTGTAAGCCTTGATGGTCTGTTGCCAACTACAACTGACAAGCTCCATTCTGTGGTGTCCCCCTTCCTTGTTTTCACTCACAAACCCTCCTCCTGGTGCTGGGCAAGGTCGGGCCTCTGGAGCCCCTACCCAGTAGTAGTAACCACAGTTGCCCTTGATAACTTTACCGATACGGGCAAGCTTGATCTTGACTGTCTTCCTCATGTTGTAGCCTGAGCTCCAAGAGGCTTACCAGCAGCTGGTGGCTCGGTCCTCTCCTTCCACCTTCCATCTTCTGTCTCCTGTCTGTCCTGGTCCCCCGTCCCCCCTGCCTCACGTGTGCATGTGTGGTTGTAAATAACAGAGCTAGAACTCTAAATCTCCGGCTTAGAGCCCACATCCTTCCTACTTCAGAGAGGCCATTGTTATTCTCCCTCTGCTCCTTCTCCCCACATCTGCCGAACTTGGCCGTGCTGCTGAGCTCTCTGGAGGGCCACTGGAGTACTGCGCACACCATTTCTGAGCAAAATTGGCATGTCCTGCGCATGGCTGCTATTTGTGTCTTGTTCCATTGTTCAGACTGACAGTGAATAATCTATTTTTCATTCACGGATTCAACTCTTTTCTACCTTCCTTTCATCAAGGTGTTCTGATGCTAATTCCAATTGTCATCTGGCTGGTGCGGCTCCCCAGGCAGCTGCAGCTAGACCTGTCCCCCTCACCTCTCTCCCCCCTCCCTCCTCCTCTTCTCTGTCTCTCCTTCAGTCTGCAGCCTAGAGTGACAGGCTGCCTGGAGTGCAATGTCAGAGCCCCAACTTTGCTCACTTCTCTGCCCAGTGGACTCCGGAGAACCTCCCCTGAGAGAAGAACATGCTGGGGGCCTGTGACGCTCTGTGCTGTCACTTGTGACCAAGAGCAGGGACCCCTCTCAACCTCTCGAGTTCTGGTTGGGCTCTTGCTAAGGAAGCAGACTCTGTGATGGCTTCAGGCTTCTCTGAGCTCAGCCAGCTCCAGGAACAGACAGAGCCATCCTCAAAGAATTTTGTCAGAGGAGGCTCTTTGAGCTGGGAGAGCTTACTTTGCACTGACCACTGCAGAGCCGTGGAGCACACAGCTTCAGCTGGCATGAGCAGAGGCCTGCCTTCCCCACCAACGTCATAACCTGCTGTGTTCTACAGGCCTCTGCCTGGGACACTCAGCTCCAGGGTAAAGACCAGAGCCCATCAGACAAGAGGATAGAGAGGCATTTGTCCTCTCCCCAACAAGATGTACTAGCCTCCAACTCTGCTGGGCACTGTACCACACCCAGAGGCCACAGACAGACCTGCTGCCCTCTGGAGCCTCATGTGTGGTGGGAGAGGCAGGCAGGAGCAAGTCAAGAGAGACGTGTCCCAGAGTCAGCCTCAGAGAACAACCCTGGTCACCTGGGAGCTGGAGCAGGCATTTAGTAAAGGTTCCAAAACGTTCAGTGGTAGCCCTTGGTGTTCGGCATTTCAGAAGAAGCAGTAAGTGGTCTTCATGGGGAAAATTAAAACTCAGGTTTTCTAGGCTCATTCTGTGGTTGGTATCGTTCTTACCTGGAACTGGGTTGGGGGTACAACGACTGTGTCTAGGGCATGAGCGGGCATTGCTGTTGAGGGATCTGTGGCCATGAGGGCTTCTAGAGAGATGGCATTTGAGTTGCAATTGAGGGGCAAAGGCACCCAGCACGTGAGGGTCTGGGAGGGTCCCTGGCTAGGTAATGTGGCTGTTCCCATGGGAAACCAGGCAGGAAGTGCATTATCTCAGAGTGTTTTCCAAGGACTTTTTTTCTTGAATCCTGTGGATTAATATGGAGAATTAAAAACCCCTGCACACGATTCCCAGCGAAAATTGTGCTGTGACATCCCTCCCCTGCCCACATAACCTTTCTGGGAGCACCCACTTTTGCCCATCTGCTTGGATTGATGCCCCTACTGAGCCCCTGTTCTATCTACAGCTCTTACCTCTAAACGTCTTCAAACAAAGCCTCTGTAGGACATGGGTGACAAGTCATGACTCTCCAGCTCTGTTCCTATTTCCTCTTGCCCACGCTGCTTGCCTGACATTTCCTTTGCATGTGCATTTGACCAGCTCATTTGTTCCCAAGCCTGGGCCTCTGGTTCCATCTGACAACCTTCGTTTATATCACACCTCAAGTGACTCTGGGGTTGGCATCGCTCCTTCAGAACGGCTTGATTTTGCCTGCATGGAATGCTTTGTTGTTTGCCTGCATTCCACTCTGGAGTTAGCAAGGAGAGAGGGGTCTCTAAGATCCACGGATGACGCCCACTTACCTTTCAAAAACCTCATGGTGATGGGATTGATTGGGTTTAAAAAGTCAGGAAGCAGGTGGATCAAAGCAAGATTTTTTACCTTCGGCATTGGCTTTTGAACAGTCCTGTTAAAATTGCATGAATTAGAGCCATTCTAAAACCAAAGTCCTTGCTTCATTTAAGAAGAGAATGAATAATTACTTTTAGTGAAGCAGCTATAAAAAGCATATTTTATAACTTCTTAGTTGTCCCACTCCAAAAAGCAGGGCACGTGCCAATGCAAAGACTAAAGTAAAGAAGCACACTGAGCCCCCAAAGCTCGGCTGCCTGTGCTTTCGCCAGCTCTCATGCGGGGCCTTGATGCCTGCCGCCCTCTGCATGCACAGAGAGGAAATGAGTTTGCTGAGGAGGCATCCTTGTGCAGGGACTTTGCAGTTAGGGACCCCACAGCTGACCTTGGGGAAACATTTAACCTTGTCAGGGCACCTAATCTTCAGGGTCAGGACACAGGTCCTACTTGGGGGGGTGCCGGGATGAAGGGATACAAGTAAAGAGCTACGCTTCAGGCTTGGCAGACGAGCGGGGACTTTGAGTTCCAGTCTTTCTGTGACAGCTTAGTCCACGTTACCTGGTTTTAACTCACCTACAAAATCCAACAAATTCTCCTTGAACCCTGACTGTGTACATTCCAGTTTAACATCCTCATTGCCCAGTGAGGCGGCTGTGCTGGATGTCAGGGGCCTGGGGCTGCCCTTTAGTGAATTGACTCTGTAATGCTCAGGAATCCCGAGAGGCCATGAGATTGTCTCAGGCAGCACCTGGCTGAGCCCAGAGTCACTTTTGCACCCGGCTAGCAGCAGGAGCCTGAGGCTCATCGTATCGGACTGAACCCTGTCGTGCTTACCACATGAGGCTGTGGATCAGTGGCCATAGGGACAGCTCTCTTCCCCACCTTCACTGCACACTGTCCCTTCCCCAGTCTCCCCTCAGGGCCCGAGGGATGCTCTGAGTTGGCAAAGACCCGTATAAAACACGACCACCCTGTCCCGGCCTAGCCCTACTTTTCTGCTGTTGGGGTCAGCACAACACCCTTGCATGTGATCTTATTATGCTGCTGAATGTTTAATCATTGTCTCCCAAAAGTGTGGGACTTCTCTTCTGTGTGAATTACCCCAGCATTAATTCCAAACTATGTTCTTCCGATCCAGGGGACGGGCTTAGATAAAAATCAGGTGTAGACAGTTTGGGCTCTGGAATCGGTAAACAAGGATACAAATCATGACATTTTTTTCTTATTAAGTGGTAACTGTGGGACATGTACTTGGTCTTCGAGTCTCTTTTTTTAGCTGTACAATGGAGTTTATAATAGGATTCAGTAAGCAAAGGCATTTAGAGAACCAGGCTCAGAAATAGGCATTCAATAAATATTTGCTTTCTGTCCTCTGCTTTCTTCCTGTTTCAGGAAAAGATGAGGTTCAGTCAGATACTTATCATTTTTTATGTCAGTCCAAAATGCTCACAGGAAAACAAACACCCTTCCTAAGTCACCGACTGCTTGGGGGGCTGAGAATTTGGCCGGTTGGCTAGACCTTTTTTTTTTTCTGGTGGCTAAATCCCTCGGGGTATTGCCCAGGGTGTGTGAAATCACCACCCGTGTCAAGACTGTTGTCCCCATCGCTGGGCACCCAGGCCCACTCTGTCTTCTCTGCTTCTTTCCCACAGGCGTTGGGAATGCTTTCAGGGCTGGAAAGACCCAGGAAGCAAAGTGGGACGAGCCTCACTGCAGTGCTCTGCTCAGGAAGCCCCCAGAAGTTACAAGAGAATCTCAGTCACCTTTGTGGCTCCGGTTCCTGGTTCCCTCCTTCCAGCCACCTCTGAGTCCTGCTCGGCCTGGGTCAAGGAGACACCTTTACTAAGGTGACCAGCCCCAAACACTAGCACAGAGGAGGTGACAGGGAGAGCAGTGGCAGCCTGGGGGCTTCTGAGGAATGTCCTTGCCCAAACCCTTGTTTGGATATCCAGGTGAGGGTGTGAGAAACTGATAGGGAATCTTTTAGATTTGTTAAAAGATAGATAGGAAGATATTTTTTACCTCTGAAGCTTTGTCAGGAAA